TGGGACACTGCAGGGATGATCTAGATGGGGGAGCCTGTGAGTGGGACCCTGCAGGATGATCTAGATGGAGGAGCCTGTGAGTGGGACACTGCAGGATGATCTAGATGGGGGAGCCTGCACCTTCTGTTGGAAGAACAGCAAGGAAGCTCGTGCGGCTGGAAGGTTCAGGAGGGGGGAGAGAAGAAGCGATGTGGTCAGAGGAAAAGCTGAAAGCCAGATGGCTCCGTCCTGCGGGCTTCCATGGCAGGGATTATGAGGAGCAACTAGAGAAGAGGCACTTGACCCAAAAGAACCAGCAGCAACACGGGTGCAGGGTCAGGCCAGAGCCAGGAGCACTGAGCACAGAGGTACTAAATCCAGAACGGCATCCAGTGAAAGTTGCTTAAGAAATTGAAAGTGGTTCAGAAGAGCAGAGCTGGGGCAGAGAATAAAAATCCACTTCAACAGGAGGAGAATCTAAGGAGAGAAAAGGTTCCACTTCCTTCACTTTTTTTTTTTTTTAAGAGGCACATCCTGCTAAGTTGTCTAGGCTGCCAGGTAGTCTTGAACTTCTGGCATCAACGATTCTCCCACCTCAGCTTCCCAAGTTGCTAAAGCATAGGTACACACCACTGTGCCAGGCATTTCTGCCTCTGTCTTGTGGAAAATGACCACATAATCCAGAGACCAATGGATGAGGACTAGAAAGCAATTTTATAATGCATCAAAGTTCTCAATTTCTCATTAGGATTGGCAGTAACTTCAATTGCTATAATTACAAACAGCCTCTTACAAAAAGTATGTAACAATTAATTTGGACTGTCGAAGCTTTTATCATAGCTAGAGAGTTGCTTTTAAAAGACCGTTCCATCACAGGCACATTTGCTGCCCACCACCCAATCTGTTTTGCATTTTAGGACTAACTTTTCGTCCTCATGTCATTTCACTGAAAGTTTCTCCAGAGTGTGGTCAGAGGTACATCGTATATGCTAGAAAACTGTGATTTATTCTGATTTCTCTTTTGCAGAGAAATTAATCAGCACAATTCCCTCAAAATGAGAAAACTACTATTTCCACCAATTATTGCTTCAGACCTTTATTTGCTTAAAATTTTCTCACCACCTATCTCTTCTCTTTTACAATCTGACTTCCAGTTTCACTATTTCGCCAAACCTGCACTAAAACTCTCTTCTTTATTCAGATCTATCTAGAAACATCGTTAACATTTACTTCCATCCTTGGATGGCACCCAAAGCTCATCCTCTATACTATTCATTCATAGTCCAACAAGAAGAAAAAGACACCCATGAAGACAAAACTGGGCAGAGAAAATATGTAGAAATGAACATAGCCTAAGTGAGAGGTAGAGCTGAGTCACTACCGAGGATCAGTTAGGAAGGATTTTTATTTTAAATCCAAGAAGGGCCTTAAAAGTCATTCAGGCAAATGCTCTCATCCTATAATGAAACAATGAGGTCTAGAAAATGTGCCAGAAGATACTGACTGCAAGCAATAAAAGAAAGAACAACTCGATTTGGCTTAAACCATTAGTAAATATATCCTCACCCACAGTGTGAGGTTAGAACACGGCAGCCCCTTGCTGGGTCACCTTCCCCGAGTCAGCATCAACTCCGTGTGAGCAAGACGGCTGAGCAGTTTCAGGAAGCACCGCAGAGTCCTCGGGGTGGGGAGAAGTGTGAGGGGAGAGGGAACGTGTATCTTTTACTCGAGTCTCTTCTTAGAGGCACAGAATCTTGACCATGAAGCCATAAGACTTTCCCCCTTGTCACTTGCCCCTTTCTAGCCCACCACTGACTTGTCTTAGTCGTAGACTAAGCCCAGGGTAGAGTGAGTGCTGGGAGCCAGGGTGGAATGAACTGGCCACGATCACAACGGGAGTTGGTTGTCCAAGAGAGACGTTTGTTCTTGCATTTGTCTCACTGCACTTCTAAGAATCTGCCTCTTTTCCTGCTCTCCAGCGATGGACTCAGCCCCTCTCTCTTTCTTTTGCAGTTATCTCAGATTTCTGTGGAAGCAGCATGGGGTAATGGTAAGCACTTACTTTAGAGTCTGACTGCCCAGGTTCAAATACAGACCCAGCACTGCTTCCAAGTACACGTGGCAGTTTAGTAGGTATTGCATCTAACTTCCTTCTTCATCTACAACAGGGGATGATACTAGAACCTACCTCATGGAGATGCTGTGAGAATTAAGTTAACATACATTAAGTCCTCAGAGTATTACCTTTTACAAAGTGAGTCTTCTGTGTGTGCGTTTTTATTAATAAGGGGCATCTATTCTTTCTGCCTGTCCGGCATCCATTTCTATACCTTTCTATAAGTGTTTCTATTTTCCTCTGATGAATTACCTCTCTGCCATGCCATAATGATCTTAGTCACACGGCATAATCTTAGTGTAAAGAGCTCACAGCCCCACTGGGCACAAGGTAGGCACAAGGGCCAAGACAGGCTAATCTTAACACTTTTCCCTGGAATCTGAATCTCAGTAGAATGACTCAAAGACCAGAACAGATAAAATCAGTCTATATAATGTCGAGACTTTAAAGGGGTTTTCATGAATTCCTCCTTCTTAGATCCACAGAATTGCTTTTTCCTTTCCGAAATCTGATTAATAATTCTCCCTTTGTTTCTCATAACTAATAGCTTTTAATACATTTCCTTTTTGCTAAAATTAGCCAAAATTGATATATGTTGTTTGTGTAATTATTGTGTCGAAAAAAAACAGGACTCCCCAAATTAAATCATGAAGTAAGTTTGTCTAACATCATTTCTTTAAATCTGTTCAACAGTCTAGCTCCTCTCTGGCCCCTGAGCATAGATCACTTAAAGGTTAAGATGGTGGCTCTGAGGTTTAGACATTCTGGACTCATCTTTAGCTCTGCCATCTACTATATTACTTAATGTCTTTTTGCCTCAGTTTCCTTATCTGCAAAATGAGGGAATAACCTCATTATGTTACTGTAAAACTTAAAATGGCTTCCCAAATGTGAACTGCCTGGAGGTGCACGTAGAACATAGTTAAGTCCTGAAAAATGTAAATAGATCAGATGGTCAGATAGTCCAGTGAGTCTGTGTCTCTACTGGCCCAGCACATCAGATAACGACCATTCCTGTTTGCATACCTTCGTTCTTGTCAGCCGTTATCTCTTCTCTATATCTTCAAGACATAATCAATTCGAGCACTACCACTTATGAAAGGCCCACATTGTTCAATGAAGACCACACTTCCCTGATATTTTACTAGTAGGAATGATAATTGGTAAAAGATAAATTGGTCTTGAACTCTGTTGTTGTGCCTGTGTGTAAATCCCCAACAAGAAAAGTGTTCCTTAGAGGCAGGAATGATATTTTATATTCTCTTCTGTCCTTCCCATTACTTAGCTTAGAATAAGACTCAAAGGAAGTCCTTAATAATTAACTCCTGAATTGCCCTTTGAACAGCTAAAAGTATTTCCAATCACAATTACTTCTGGATTTGTATAGCGGCAAGCCCTGAGGTCTGTAGTTTTATTGTAAGTACAAGCATACAAAAAAAGACAAGGTCTAGCTTGAGCCAGAGCAAGATCTCAGCTCTAAAAATAGCCAGGTGTTGTGGTGGGCACCTGTAATTCCAGCTACTTGGGAGGCTGAGACAAGAGAATCACTTGAGCCCAAGAGTTTGAGGTTGCTGTGAGCTATGAGGTCATGGCACTCCACCAAGGGCAACAAAGTAAGATTCTGTCTCCAAAAAATTAAGGAAAAAAAATGTTAAAAAGACAAGGTCTGTAACTTCATTTTCTTCCCATATTGACCCATACACAGTAGGCACCAATGTACATGTTATTAACTATCTACCAAAAAGCTGGAAACTCCAGGAGCTGCAAATTAACTTTTTTTTGTTTGCAGTTTTTGGCCGGAGCTGGGTTTGAACCCGCCACCTCCAGCATATGAGGCCAGCCACAGACGCTGCCCTGGGACCTGCAAATTAATTCTAAATATGATAGAAAATTCTAAATATATCCACTACTATGAAGATTTGAAACTATAATGCTGAAAGATCCTGTTTTATTTAAAAACCCAAAACATGAAGAGAAACAGATACTCTTAATCATTTTCTCTCCTTCTAACACATTGTTTTCAAATAAAAATAATTCTCATAAAAACTGTTGATGCAAGACGAAGGCAACAGGGTGACTCCCGTATCTTTCTAGTGGTGTTTCTGCAGAAATGTTCTTTTATTTTTGAAACTCTATACATCATTTACAGTGCACTATTTTCTTTCTCTGAGTTTTCTAAGCATGTGAAAAAGCATACTCAGACATAAAATCTTCTTCCATGCATGTCCCAGAGCATATCACTTACATATAAAGAGATGAATTTTTTTTCATAGTTATGTGGGTTGCTTTTTAGTCATATAACAAAGTCAACTGGAAAAAAGAATGAGGAAGACTAGACTTAATTCCACGTGAAACCAACTATGAAATGAAGATGCATAAACTGACTCGGGGGAAATGCTTATGTTACATCTTCCATAAAATTCCACACTTTTTGGCTTATTGTCATTTTCATAATGGGTATGGTTATTTTTCTAAATGTACCCACTATTAATTTTCCAACAAGATCAACCCCTCATTGCTCCTTTCTACAAGAACACTCAGTCTAGGAGAAAAGGAAAAGGGAAGAGGGAGAATGAGAAGAGAAGAAACAGCCAGTCCTACTTGGCCTGCGCGAGACAGCCTGGTGCGACCACACTGCGATCCTCTCCCTCCGCCTGGAGTGCAGTCAGCTCTACCATGTCCACCATCACATCGTTGGTGTGGCCTGGAAGCTGGGGCAACACTGAGATGATCCTTTCTACTAAGTTGTCTCCATGATGTCCGACCGCTCCTGTTTAAGTAGACAAGAAAATACAACCTCACAAAACGGGAAGGAAAAGTAAGCTGGATAAATGTTTTTATAATGCCCCTCCCATAACGCAGACCTCGGATTTTGCCATTTGTAACACTACTCATATTCACAATTGCCCCATATTTTCCATGTTTAATGTGCAGTTTTTGCCCAAGTTTTTGAGAGAAAAATGAGGATGTATATTACACATGGGTGGTATAGCTCCAGGGCCACCATGCCCTCCCACCTGGGCCCTGCAAGATGCACAGGGCTCTAGTCTAGGAGGATCTAGAATCTGGTGGGAGTGCACCAGAGCAGCTTCCAGCCAGTGCTGCAAACAGGGGAGGAGGTGATGGAGGGGCCATTGAGGTGGGCCATGGCCAGGAGGGGCAAGGGCTGAGACCCAAGGCCCAGCTGCACAGAGGTGACCAGGAGACCTGTGCAGGCCCCAGGACTCCCCACCAGGCTAAGGGCCTCAGAAGCTCCCATCATACTGGCCACGTACACGAGACCCTCAATGTGGTGGGAGGGAAAGGCTCCCAGGAGAGAGGAAAAGAGCAGCCTTCACAAAGCAAGCAGCTGCAGGAGGGTGGTGCAATCTACACACCTACCAGGGAAGCATTAACCCTCCCCAGAAGTATCTCTCCCAGCTGAGAGCTGGCTACTTTCTCAAGGGGTGTTTTCCTGAAAATTTGGACCAAAAATGTGGGTGTTCTTTATACATGGGAGCACATTATACACAGAAAAATACGGTACCAACCAAGGTGTGTCTCATGGGTTGGACGTGGTGTTCCATGAGGGCAGACTGGGGTTACCACTGTATCCCCAGCACCTAGCACAGTGCCGGTATACAGGAGGCATAAATAGGTATTTGCTCAAATAATAAATTAAATTATCAGCATATAGTCTGTCAGGTAAATAGTGGTCTGTCATAGGATAATAAAATCCTGAAATTTTAAAGTTGAACTTTGTTTTTATTTTATGGATGAAGACACAAAAATCCAGAAGCATTTAGGAACTTGACCCTCCCCTCCACTAGAACCTTATCTTCCTAACAGCAAGGCCCTGTTTACACAGTTCACTCTGCACCCACCATGTCTAGCTCGGTAACTGACAGCTTTGCCAACAATAACCTGCTCTCTACCACCACCTGCTCTACAACCCCACTCATTCTGGGGCCACTCGGAGCAGTGGCCAAGCACTGCCTCTCCATCACCACCACTACCATGATGACAACTACTGTGACGTCCACTGCCTGGTACCCTCAGTGACTCTGGGGGGCCAGCTGCATCCACATCAGCATGGCCCTTGGCCCTAATACTTGCCCCCAGTG